TAGTCCAGACTATAGACTAAACTATAGTCTGGACTATAGACTAGACTAATGGCTGGACTATAGTCCAGACTATATGACTACACTATAGTCTAGACTATAACCTAAACTATAGTCCAAACTATGGACTAATCTACAGTCCAGACTATAGACTAGACTACAGTCCAGACTATAGACTAGACTATAATCCAGACTATAGACTAGACTATAATCCAGACTATAGACTAGACTATAGTCCAGACTAAACACTAGACTATACTCCAGACTATAGACTAGATTATACTCCAGACTATAGACTAGATTATACTCCAGACTATAGACTAGATTATAGTCCCGACTTAGTCTATTCTATTGACTAGTCTATAGCCCCGTCTAGAGGTTAGACTATGAACTAAACTATATAGTTTCGACTGTATTGTAGTTCAGAGTATAGACTAGTTCATAGCCCAGGCTATAGTCTGGCCTTCAGTCTTTACTACGAACCAAACTATAATCCTGACTGCAGACTATACGAAGAGTCTCCGACTGCGATTCACCAATCACATTTCAGAATAATGGTTCTTTCAAATAATAGCATATTTACAAAATAAAGTATTTATAATTTTAGAAATTATTCTATTCTTAATAAATTACTTCTTTTCACATTGATCTTCTCTTTTCTAGTTTTTCACTTTCCTAAAAGAACCTTTCAAAAATTCTAATGACAACTTCACGCAGAAAAGTAAACAACTAATGAAAGTTGTTTTTTAATATTTTTTGTTATTATTTTCATAAAATCTGGTTAAAATTGGTTTCAGATCTTAATATTCACATAGTTTTTGCATTTTTTGTATTTCTTTTCCTTAAATTATTGCTGGTTTTCTTTAAATTCAACTTTTCGCCTTGAAATTCTTGTTTTGTTTACATTTCACAAAACAATAATATTGACAACTTTACTTACAAAACAAACAAATTTATGACGCCTTTAAATTTTGCACATTTTCTTAATTAAAAGTAAAAAATTTTTATGTAATAATTAGAAAATTTATTTAAATTCATTAATTTCTTGTAATAAATAATACAAGAAAACAAAAACAAATTCTCATTTAACTTGAACTTGCACAGGCGCTTTTTTTCGCTTGGTTTTTGCTTTTGTTTTTACTTTTGTGGGTTTGTGTGTGACTTAAATACAAAAAAAAAATGTGTTAGTGTAACTGTATGTGTGTTTGTATGTTTATTTTCTGGTTTGTTTTGTTTGCTAAAAGACAGCCATGTTTGTTTTTTTTTTTTGCTTTACTTTTTTTCTTGACTTTCAATATAACCAAGCAAGCTTTTTTCTCTATACAATTGAAATCCTTGAAATTTTTACGCAAAAAAAACCAAACAAAAAACGTAAATAAAAAGGGAAGAAAAACTTGTTAAAAAATCAACACTCAAACCTTTTATTTACAAATTAATGGCTGAATATAAAAAGTGAAAAAAATATTGTATATTTTACGGGTGTAATTGTTTGAGAGTATGACAACGTATGATGATTGAACAACACCAAAAGGGTAAGGGGTAACAAAAAAGTACTTGTATGTTTGTATGTATGTAAGTAAGTAAAATTGTATTTTTGTAGAGGTTTTTGTTATTGCCATATTATCCTTTTATGTCAATTTTTCCACTACAGCATATTTTTAATTGAAGTGTATTTTTGATTTATGTACGCAAATGTAAAAATCTGTCTGTTGTAGGCAATATGTGTTGTTGCTCTATATTGGCAATTGTTGTTTAGTTAATTGAATTTTAATTCTTTTTTTAGTATTATTTCGTAAAAAAAAATCCCCTAAGGGTTCATTTACTTACACACTTGCTTATTCATTTAAATTTCTTTTTTATTCAATTTTATTTTCTATAGCCTAAACTAAAGGCGTTGCTAATTTTTGCAACGAAGAAAAAAATTCACGCAAAGTACTTGTTATTGCAACGTTATGCAACCGCCATAATGCAGTTGTCAAATGTGTGTGCTTGTCAGTCATTGATTTAATTGGGGTTGTGTTGATGTCTCGTCTAACTTGCATAATGGCTGCAATTGTAAATTTGCCAGAGGTAAATGTTGAGACTTGTGCGAGTGTGTGTTAAAGGAAAGTTGCATACAAAGTTTCTTCTTTAAAATCAAAATTTTCAAGTTTAAAAACGTGTAGAAATTAATTAAAAACTTCTTAAAATAATATAAAAGATTAAAGGTAATTTTTGAAGGGTTTTTCGAAAAAGAAGTGTTTCATTGTTAATGGAATTTGGAAACTCTTGATTAATGAACAAATGGCTAAACAAATAGTCCAGAATTTAGACAATACTTTACACTAGAATATGGACTAGACTATTGACTAGACTATAGACTAGGCTATACTATAGACTAAACTATAGACTAGACTATAGACTGGACTATAGACTAGACTATAGTCTAGACTATAGACTAGACTATAGACTACACTATAGACTAGACTATAGACTAGACTATAGAGTAGACTATAGACTAGACTATAGACTAGACTATAGACTAGACTATAGACTAGACTATAGACTAGACTATAGACTAGACTAGACTAGACTATAGACTAGACTAAGACTAGAATATAGACTAGACTATAGACTAGAATATAGACTAGACTATAGACTAGACTATAAACTAGACTATAGACTAGACTATAGACTAGACTATAGACTAGACTATAGACTAGACTATAGACTAGGCCATAGATTATACTATAGACTATACTAAAGACTAGAATATAGACTAGACTATAGACTAGAATATAGACTAGACTATAGATCAAACTATAGACTAGACTATAGACTAGACTATAGACTAGACTATAGACTAGACTATAGACTAGACTATAGACTAGGCTATAGACTAGACTATAGACTAGACTATAGACTAGACTATAGACTAGACTATAGACTAGACTATAGACTAGACTATAGACTAGACTATAGACTAGACTATAGACTAGACTATAGACTAGACTATAGACTAGACTATAGACTAGACTATAGACTAGACTATAGACTAGACTATAGACTAGACTATAGACTAGACTATAGACTAGACTATAGACTAACTATAGACTAGACTATAGACTAGACTATAGACTAGACTATAGACTAGACTATAGACTAGACTATAGACTAGACTATAGACTAGACTATAGACTAGACTATAGACTAGACTATAGACTAGACTATAGGACTAGACTATAGACTAGACTATAGGACTAGACTATAGACTAGACTATAGACTAGGACTATAGAACTAGACATAGACTAGACTATAGACTAGACTATAGACTAGACTATAGACTAGGACTATAGACTAGACTATAGACTAGACTATAGACTAGACTATAACTAAGACTATGACTAGACTATAGGACTAGACTATAGACTATACTATAGACTAGACTATAGACTAGACTATAGACTAGACTATAGACTAGACTATAGACTAGACTATAGACTAGACTATAGACTAGACTATAGACTAGACTATAGACTAGGACTATAGACTAGACATAGACTATAGACTAGACTATAGACTAGACTATAGACTAGACTAGTAGACTAGACTATAGACTAGACTATAGACTAGACTATAGACTAGACTATAGACTAGACTATAGACTAGACTATAGACTAGACTATAGACTAGACTATAGACTAGACTATAGACTAGACTATAGACTAGACTATAGACTAGACTATAGACTAGACTATAGACTAGACTATAGACTAGACTATAGACTAGACTATAGACTAGACTATAGACTAGACTATAGACTAGACTATAGACTAGACTATAGACTAGACTATAGACTAGACTATAGACTAGACTATAGACTAGACTATAGACTAGACTATAGACTAGACTATAGACTAGACTATAGACTAGACTATAGACTAGACTATAGACTAGACTATAGACTAGACTATAGACTAGACTATAGACTAGACTATAGACTAGACTATAGACTAGACTATAGACTAGACTATAGACTAGACTATAGACTAGACTATAGACTAGACTATAGACTAGACTATAGACTAGACTATAGACTAGACTATAGACTAGACTATAGACTAGACTATAGACTAGACTATAGACTAGACTATAGACTAGACTATAGACTAGACTATAGACTAGACTATAGACTAGACTATAGACTAGACTATAGACTAGACTATAGACTAGACTATGACTAGACTATGACTAGACTAGACTAGACTATAGACTAGACTATAGACTAGACTATAGACTAGACTATAGACTAGACTATAGACTAGACTGTAGACTAGACTATAGACTAGACTATAGACTGGACTATAGACTAGACTATAGACTAGACTATAAACTAGACTATAGACTAGACTATAGACTAGACTATAGACTAGACTATAGACTAGACTATAGACTAGACTATAGACTAGACTATAGACTAGGACTATAGACTAGACTATAGACTAGACTATAGTCCAGACTATAGACTAGACTATAGACTAGACTATAGTCCAGACTATAGACTAGACTATAGTCCAGACTAGTCTATAGTCCAGACTATAGATCAGGTTATAAACTAGACTATAGTCCAGCCTACAGATTATACTATAGTCCAGACTATAGAGTAGACTATAGTCCAGACTAAAGACAAGACTATAGATTACACTACCGTCCATATTATAAACTAGACCAGAATCAAAAAATATTTTTATATTTCTGCTTTCTTTAATCCTTCCGGCTATTAAAAAGTCCTTGTGCTGTGCTTTTTAAATATTTCAAAATTTAATTTTCTAAATCTAAACTTTTATTTGCCAAACATTTTATGGTCACTGCAGTAATCTCCTCAAAAGCTATAACTCACTATAATGGAATTTAAAATGAAAACTAAATATAGCTCAAGCAACAAACAGCAACAAATAATTTAAAATGTATTCCTTTTATAGGAAACATTATTACATTTTTAGGTAATAAATAGAACACCTACCTGTATACGATCTTCGGCTAAACCCGTTTTCATAGACAACAATTCTCTGGCACTAACATCCGGATAGTGGGCATCTTTAAATGCTTTTTCCAATTCCTCCAATTGATTACTCGTAAATATTGTACGACCATGACGACGTTTATTTTTCTTTTTACTACCCCCGGCAGGACCCAGCAGTACACCATCTGGCCCCGTAACCGGATGATGACCCAACAAACCATTTGCCGCAGCACTGGCTGAACCATTAAGGAAAGCCTCATGATGTGCGGCAGGATGTTGATGGGCAGCATGATGATGAGCTGCTGCAGCAGCCGCAGCATGATGGGCAGCCATGGGATGGGCATGAGGATGTGCATGTGAGTGAGCATGATGAGCTGCAGCGGCTGCTGCGGCATGATGTGCCAAAGCGGCGGCAGCATGTTCGGCCGGTGAGAGAGTGGGTCTAGTGGGTGTTGTAGATTGATTTGCTGGATTATTGGAATTGGGTGTATTGGCATTTGAGTTTGAGGAGTTATTTTGGCTACTCGTTGAGGTTGAACTAGATTTACTGGGTGAGTTTTCGTCAATATTGTTGTTGTTATTCGACTGAGATCCTGCATATTCATTATTGCCACGTGAGTTTTGTTCTGTAAAAGTAAATTGAAAGAGGATTTTCAATAATTTTCTTTAAAATTCTATTAATTTTTAAATTTATGTTTAACAGTTTTAAATTGTTCATTAGAGAGAGAAAAAATTCTTTTCTAACCCTTTATTCTCATATGTATATGTATTTGCAAAAAAAGGTCCTTTTTGACATTTAAATAATCTTAACTTATCAATCTTGTCTTCAGGTTTCTTTCACAGTTGTCAAAATATTTTAACAAAAGAACTAAAAGAATTTTATCGTTTCATAAAAAATCTTTCAAGTATTTATTGTTTACAGGGATTTTGGTTACAAGGAAATAGGTTTAAGTCTGCTCTTTTTGTTCACATTTCAGTTTTATTTTATTTTTTTTTTCTTTCTTTAGTCCTTAAACATACAGAACAAATCCTACATGTGTTTTGTGTGAAACGTGCCAGGGATTTGTATGTGGAAACATGAAAATTTCTTCTTTTATTGTTATGGGTGCGGTATATTGTGACAGTTTTAAATGCTGTTAAGTGAAAGGTGCAAAATTGTTATACGATTTTCCATTTAACCCCTAACAATTGTAAATCAATCCTATCAGGAAATATACATACATACTTATTTGTATGTAAGTGTTAAAGGAATAAGAAAATTATCAAATAATTTGTTAAACATCTTTATAAAAGTCTCATAAATGCATATTGTTAGGGCAATTATTGGCATAAAAGGTGAGCAAATTAAGAAGGCGTTTTTTTAATGGGTGTTTTGTTGTAGGTTTTTTGTTTAAAATATATTTATTAAGAATTATTGAAAGAGAAAAGGCTTAATATTAATTTTAAATAGATTAATATTGGCAGATTTCAAAGAACTTAAGATATTTGCATTCATAAATATTCAAAGACGATCAATTGGATAATGAAAATAAGATAAACTATACTAGACAACTGTACAGATTACTAATTATATTACAGACCAGATTATACACTAAAGACTATACTATAGACTGGATAATAGTACTGAAAATAGATGTGACTATAGTCCAGACAATAGATTTTACCATAGATCTGACAATATGCTAGACAATAGGCCAGATACAGTTCAGACCATAGTAGATTATATACTAAACCACAGACTAGACTATATACTACACTATAAATTAGACTATAGACTTGACTAAGGACTAGACTTTAGACTTGACTATAGACTAGACTATACACTAGAAAGGGCACTAAGCACCAATACTCTGTTTTTGATATTTTGTGCAGACTATAGACTAGACCATACACTAGAATATAGACTAGACTATAGACCAGACTATAGACTAGACTGTAGACTATACTATAAACTAGACTAGACTATAGACTAGACTAACGATAAAACTATAGACTAGACTATAGACTAGAATATAGACTAGACTATAGACTAGACTATAGACTAGACTAAAGACTAGACTATAGACTAGACTATAGACTGGACTATAGACTGGACTATAGACTAGACTATAGACTAGACTATAAACTAGACTATAGACTAGAATATAGACTAGACTATAGACTAGACTATAGACTGGACTATAGACTGGACTATAGACTAGACTATAGACTAGAGTATAAACTAGACTATAAACTAGACTATAGACTAGACCAGATTATAGACTATAATATAGACTAGACTATAGACTAGACTATAGAATAGACTATAGACTAGACTATAGACTAGACTATAGACTAGGCTATAGACTAGACTATAGACTAGACTATAGACTAGGCTATAGACTAGACTATAGACTGGACTATAGACTAGAATATAGACTAGACTATAGACTAGACTATAGACTAGGCTATAGACTAGACTATAGACTAGACTATAGACTAGACTATAGACTGGACTATAGACTAGAATATAGACTAGACTATAGACTAGACTATAGACTAGACTATAGACTGGACTATAGACTAGAATATAGACTAGACTATAGACTAGACTATAGACTAGACTATAGACTAGACTATAGACTAGACTATAGACTAGGATATAGACTAGACTATAGACTAGACTATAGACTAGGCTATAGACTAGACTATAGACTAGGCTATAGACTAGACTATAGACTAGACTATAGACTAGACTATAGTCCAGACTTTAGACTGGTCTAAAGTCCAGACTATAGAATAGACTATAGTGCAGACTTTAGACTAAACTATTCTCCAGACTATCGACTAGACTTTAGTCCAGACTATGGACTAAACTATTGTCCAGACTATACACTAGAGTAAAGTTCATACTATAGATTAGACTATAGTCCAGACTATAGATTAGACTATATACCAGACTTTAGTTCAGACTATAGAGTAGACTATAGCCCAGACTATAGACTAGACTATAGCCCAGACTATAGATTAGACTATAGTCCAGACTATAGACTAGACTATAGTCCAGACTATAGACTCTAGACTAGATAATCTAGTCTTGACTATAATCTATACTATAATCATAACTATAATCCAGACTATTGAATAGATTGAAGTCCAAACTATACACTACTTTCTTAGTTAATGGAAACAACCAAAAATCGTTTAAATAGAAATCTTTTCGTTTTCGAATCAAATTACATTTGTAGCTGTCATTTTCCTAAACTTAGTTTAACCTTTGTTATATATGTAAGTTAAATTTTGACAGCTGTTTATGCTACTACCTTTTTTCAATTGGTTTTACTTTCATTTTCTCTGCCGTCTTTTGGTACTTTCTTTAAGTAAATAGTTTTTCCTTTAATATAGAAATCTGATAGGGAAAATATATTTCTATTGAAACTATTATGAATGGTTAATTGATTTCACTCAGTACTTTTCTTTTGTTTTTTACTTAATTAAACAATTAATTTGCCAATTTAAACAAAACCTAAGAAATGTTATAACAACAACTTACTATTTTTATTAAATCAATTAACAAAGAAAAGGAAAAAGTATTAATGTTAACAAAAAGAAAAATAACTTAGTAAAGTATCGCATGTCTATAAATAGAAAAAAGAAAATTTTTACAGAAAACTAAGAGGAAAACTGATATTAATATAGTAATAATAATAATAAAGTTTAAGCATAAAAGAGGGGTCAGTGTGCTAATAGCTGGTATCTATTGTTGAGGTTAGAAAGGAAAAAAACAGGGATGATTTTTTTGTGTTTGAAAACAAAACATAATTGTTAATTGATGTGTATATAATTTGCTTATGGCCAGTGGTCAGTAAAAATGTTTGTTATATGAACACTGTTAAGGTTTTTTTTTTGTTGTAAAAAGGCTTTAGGTAAATTGTTTAATTAGTTTTGGGATTATTAGCAATTATGTTTAAGCGTTAAACATAAAAGGTATATGAATAAAAAAAATATTAATAAAAACAATATAACTTAAAAGTAATTATCTAAGCATAAAATAAAAACAAATTCAATGAACAATAAAGTTTTTACAAAAAAAAAATTATTAACAGTTTAAAAGCTTATTATTTATTATACTCCCACATTTAAACAGCCAGGCTGGGATTACTACCAATTTTTGCAACTGTGTGCTATTGTTAATTAGAACATTGAACTTAATGATTAATTGAAGTGTAAATTTATTTGTGGGTGTTTTAATTAGTGTTATGTTTTTTATAAAAAGTTATTAATAGAAATTACGAAAAAATTTCGAGGAAATATTGATTTCTTTAAATTTTAAAAGAGAAAATGAAGCAGAAAGAGGCAATTTATTGAAAAAGCAAAAAACTGTCTTTAATTTTAAAATATCTACCAGACATTTCAATTATAATAAATTTTCATTCTTAAAAAAGTCTTGCAAACAAGAACAGAAGAAGCCATAGCTAAAAGGCAATTTAGCTAAACTATAGTATTTACTTAGTAATTTTCCACCATTTTTGTGTTAAATTTTTCTTTACTCCTCTCCTCTCCTAAGCTCAAATCTTAAGGCAAAAAGAAAAACGTTAAAAAACTGATGACTACCAGCGAAAGAGGAAGCAGCAAACGAAAAGGAAATTTTTGTTGACAGGAAATACACTCGAAATTGGCAATTTTGCATTTACGTTAATAATACTCAAGCGTATTTACTACTTCTACTACTATGATTACTATTAGGTTGTACTGCTACTTATTTGCTACCTTTTTTTTTCGTCCTATTCTACTACTTTTTTCTACATTTTTCTCTTATTAATAAAAAAAAAGAAAACAAACATCTTAAGGCAGACAAATACAGCAGAGAAAAAGAAAAACAACGTAATAAAATGTAAATAGGGGGGAAAGTCAAGAAGTAAAAATACTTTAACGAGCTTAAAAAAGGAATACATTTAGCGGTAAGCAGTAGGCAAAAGAATTTAGTTTTTAGGGGAAAGGTAGGTAGGGGGGGTTGTTGTATTTTTAAGCTGTTTTCCTTTTAGACAAGCCAATATTCATACATACATATTTACATATACATATGCTGCCTTAGCAGAGCAACAACAGCAATTATTTGTAATGGAGACATTTATATGAATAAAATATAACAAATTAAATTTTTCCTTTTATGTTTTTGGAAAATTGAAACAAAAAGGAAGATAATAACATAAATAGATTAATCGAGAGAAGGAAGTAAAATGAAATCTTTTGCTTTCTTTGGATTTTCTTAAATATATATATAGATCTAAGTCAACATCCAAGAATCAAGGCTATATGGTGTCTAGTCCATTGTCTTTGGATTTTCTTAAATATATACAGATCTAAGTAATCATGCAAGAATCAAGACTATAGTATATTGTCTAGTCTATAATCCAATATATAGTCTAGTGTATAGTGTAGTCCATAGACTAGTATATAGTCTAGTTTATAGTTAAGTATTTATATAGTCTAGTATATAGTCTGGTCTAGTTTGTAGTCAAGTCTATAGTCTGGATAATAGTTTAGTCTATAGTATAATCAAAAGTCTAGTCTATAGTGTAGTCTACAGTCTGGTCTATAGTCTTGTCTATAGTCTAGTCAATAGTCTAGTCTATAGTCTAGTCAA